GCACCACTGTTCACTTGTGAGGTGATGAGAATAAAAAAGGCAAAAAGTGTCTTCATATTATTGTGGAAATAGTCTGACCTTGCAAGTCTCCACTTTGATAACTGCTACACTAGGCCTGATTGCTCTAAGTCTTTCTGATCTTTTTGGCGTTTGCTCTGTTCCCCGAATCAGAAAAAAACAGTGGCTGGTAAACACAGGACAGTTGCACTTTGACAATATCTTCACATATTTTTCATATGATTAAAAATTTCCTCAAATGCAAGACTGACTCAAAAGACATTGGATCTTTTTATGTTCCAGCCTGTGCTGTCATTTAGCAATAGGATAAATCTAGTTTGCAATCCACTTACCCAATCAGTTTTAAATTAGGAGAAATTTAATGTATTGTTAATTTGGAGAAAGTTGGCATCATTTCAATAAGTTACAAAAATTGAGATCTTACTGATATTTCATATGGCACTATTTTAAATGTTCTTAATCAAAATTCAAATTCTTCACTGCAAAGAAGGAAAAACTTAATAATAGTGGATGAAGAAGAAGGAAGTGTGACAAGAGCATGGAAGCTCCTTGAAAGCAGGAGCTGCATGAGAGTCCTCTCTCTACTCCTTTGTAGCCCTTCCGTTTTGTGTTGTTTTTTGCCATCAAGTTGGCCCTGACTCAGGGTGACCCCATGCATAACAGAATGAAGTGTTACCCAGTCCTGCACCATCTTCATGATCATTGATAAGCTCAAGACCATTGCTGCAGCCACTGTATATTTGGTGTGCCTCACCACCTAGGGGACTCATCTTCCAACACTAGATCAGATAATATTCTGTTGTGATCCATCGGGTGTTTTCATCAGTTGATTTTCAGAAGTAGAGCACCAGGGCTTTCTTCCTAGTCTGTCTTAGTCTGGAAGCTCCACTGAAACCTGTCCACTGTAGGTGACCCTGCTGGTATTTGAGATACCAGTAGCATAACTTTCAGCATCATAGCAGCACAAAAGCCACTACAGTATGACAAACTGACAAATGGGTAACAGAGCTTTTCGGAGAGTAGAATTTTTATAAAAGTAAGGTGAAATATTTGCCCTCTTGATCTCCAGCAATAGGAGAGAGATCCTCCTTTCTTTCTCCCCCTCACTTCAGCTTGGGCTGATGAGACTGATCTCTGCCAGAGTGCTGAGCATTAAAGATGCCCCACAAACATCCTTCTCCTTGAATCTGAAGCTCAGTTTCTCTGTGTCTCTGATGATCTCCACCATATGGTCTGAGTTCCCAAGAAGGGCACATGGGAGGGAAATGCAGGTACCTCTCCAGCTGTGAGTCATGGGTCCAGGAAAGAAAAAGCAAAAAAAATAAAAAAAGGATGCACTAAACACTCATTAGCAGAGCAACTTATTAAGAACCAATGTGAACCCTCTGCTCCCAGGCAGCCATTATTTCAAAAAGGAATTCTCCTCAGTGTCTAATTCCATCACACTTAAATGCCCATTAGTTCATGCTCATCCTGAGGACTAAGTTCTGTGAGAGGAAGGCAGGTGTGGATTTGAGAAAAGTAGGTCAGTCTCTGTTGACAGGAGGAGAGCATTTGTCTCAAGCAAATGAAGGTCATTGTTAATAATGCATAGGGCAGTAGGTGCTAGCCACCCCCAGGTGCTCATTTTCCCAGAGGGACATGGTCCTTCTCCCTACAGGGGTGGCTTGAGTATTACGAAGATTATGGGTATTTAAGACACAAATACTGGTGTGGGTAAACCATGCGCTGAGTGGCCCCTTTAAGTGAGACTCCTGGTTTGGACTTTCTTTTATTATTATTATTATTTTTAACATTAAACTTAAATCTTGGAGATAATTGCAGATTCATATGCAGTTATAAGAAATAGTACAGAGTAATCCTATGTTCCCTTTACCTAATTTCTCCTAATGGTAACATCTTATAAAAAAATTATACTACACTATCTCAATTGGGACTTCCTGAAAGGATTCAGGGACCCTTGAGACCTCCTTGACCCTAGATGGAAGAAACTCTAAAGAATAGTGTACTGTTTTCCCTTGGAAAGACTGTCCATAAGAACCTGGAGGAAATGAAAATGCACCAGGGCACTCTGGTTGTAGGTAGGAGAAGTTGGTGTAGATTTCAGGTGCTTGTCCCTCAGAACCCTGACTTGAATGAGAGCACCACTGGGCTCCAGGGATGCAGTGCAGCCCTTACTTAGTCATTGATGCTTTGGGTGGCTGTATCCCTCAGCCCTTCATCTGAGCATGCTCAGGTATGTGGTTAATAGGCCAGGCTCTGGAATCACAGACATGGATTTAAGTCCCAAATCCTCCACTTACTCTATAGATGGTCAATTACCTCTTGGGGCCTGTATTTTTTTAAAATAGCTTATCTAGCACTTACTATGTGTCTGCCACTATTCTAGGCACTTTAATAACTTATTTAATTCCAACCATCCTACGGGGAAGATACTATTATTGGTTCCCATTTTGCAAATAAGGAAATCAAGGTACAGGGATGTTATTTGTTCAAATTCACCTAGCTAGTGATTGGGTTGTCAGGTAATACACTTTTAAAGTTTTCATTAAAAAAAAAAAAAAAAAACTGTTGCCATCAGGTTGTTCCCGATTCATGGTGTATAATGGAGTAGAACTGCTCCAAAAGGTTTTCATTATTAAAATCTTTGTGGGAGCAGATTGCCAGATCCGTCTTCTGAGGTATTGCTAGATGGGTTCACCAATTCTTAGGTTAGTAGTCAAGTGAAAAGCATTTGCACCACCAAAAGTTCACATACTTAACCCTATTCTATATTACGTCTTCTATCTGTAAAATGGGGTAAGTAATACTCCAATAACTTTTTTTTTTTCAGCAAGGCAAACTGATAGCATGATGTGTGACATGTAATAAATAAAATCAGTTGCCTTTGAGTTGCTTCTGGCTCATGGCGACCCTGTGTGTTGCAGAGCGGAAATGTGCTCCATGAAGTTTTCAATTGCTGTGACCTTTTAGAAGTGCATCACCAGGTCTTTCTTCCTAGGTGCCTCTAGATGAACTTGAACTGCCAACCTTCCTGTTAGTAGCCCAGCACTCAGACATTTGCACCACCCAGGGACTCCTTTATGTAATAAATAAGACCAATAAATGCTACTTAACATTATTGTTAGTATTAATTCTGGAAGTTTCTGAGTACTTGTTATTTATTATTATTACTAATAGCTTCCATCTTGGCCACCTTATATGTATCAAGCCCTCATTCAGCCTTCCCAGATGCCCAAAAAGAGAAGTCTCTCTTTTCTAGATGAAAAAAAACTATGACTCAGAGATGAAATCTTGCAAAGATAGAGACAGAACTCAAACACAAGGGTTATGTCTTATAATCACAGCACTGAGAGAGATACCAGCCTCACTTCTTACCCAGTTCAGGACTTTCCCTGCCAAGCAGTCCTTCACCCCTTGTGAATATCCCTGGTGACAAAGTATGAATTCTTTGTGCCAGTGGTCCTCATATTTGAACATACATTAGAATCACCTGCAGGGTTTGATAAGAATAGATTGCTGGAGCCACCCCCCCCCCCACACACACACACACATAGTTTCTGATTAGATAGGCCTGAACATGGCTTGAGAATGTACATTTCTCACAAATATTCAGAAGGTGCTGATGCTGCTGGTCCAGGGGCCACACACTGAGAATTGCTATTCTAGAGGAACTCCTTGGAGTAGTCACAGTATATGTGATGGCTTCCCTCAATTTTTCCCTTTTTAAATTGAGACAGACTTTCCAAGCAAGCTCAGCACCCTAGTATTACCTGCAGCACCTATGTGATAAGGAGCTCTGGTGGTGCTGTGGTTAAGACATTGAGCTGCTAACCAAGAGATCAGCAGTTCAAATCTACTAGCCACCCCATGGGAGAAAGATAAGGCAGTATCCTTCCATAAAGATTTACTACAGGCTTGGAAACCCTATGGGAATCGTCATAAGTTGGAATTAACTCGCTGGCGCTGGCAAGGGGTTTGGTTCAATTTGGTTATCTATGTGATACCTTTCTCCACAGAAGATTGCTCAGACTGTGTGTTCTCAACAATTTGTCTCTTTCTGGATTCAACCTCCTCCCACTTTTATCTTTATCTACTTTTTGAGGGGGCTAACTTTCAAGGAAACCTGGTGGTGCAATGGGTAAAGCACTCAGCTGCTAATCGAAAGGTCAGTGGTTCAAACCCACTAGCTGCTCTGTAGAAGAAAATAACTGGTGATCTGCTCCCAAAAAGATTATAGCCTAGGGAACCCCATGGGGCAGTTCTACTCTGTCCTATGGAGTCACTATGAGTTGGAAGTGACTTGACAACACACAACAACATACTTCCAAAAGTTTTACAAAACAACATCTGCTGTTATTTTTCTGATTGAAAATATAAATAAATAAGATAAAAACAAAAATTCTCCTATTGTTGAAAATTTAGAAAAGCACCAAAAATAAAAAAGGATGGGAAGAAAATTTAAATTAATCAGCATTTCACTATCTGTAGATTATCACTATTAAAATTTTGATAGATTTTCATTTATTTCCTTACAACTTTTTGTTATTTATATGTATTTATTAATATTGTAATAAAAACACATGTAGTTTTAGTATCTTGAAGAAAAGAAACAATCAAAATGTGCTCTTTAAATGGTAGCTGCTGGTGTTTTTATTATGGAATTAAAAGAAGGAACTGAAGTTTACTATAGATGGCTTCTTCATTGGAGTGACAGGGTTTTATATCACCAGCAAAAGTGTAGGCAATGTTGGGGAAAGAGCTGAGTGGGGACAAGTAATGGAGATCTGTAACTGGTTGTCATTCTGTCCAGAATTCTAGGCACCTTCTTGATCAGGAAATGATTTAACAAAGGGATTTTTCCAAAGGTAAATAATGCAATGGCAGATGGAATGGATTGGAGGGGAAGAGTGAGAAGGTAGGAACATGGATATACAAGTCGGGTGTGGTCTTGGGAACCCTCAATCCCTGGGGCTTAGGCCTGGTGTGGTGTGGCCTAGATGAGTCTACTTCTGAGCTGCCAGGATGGAGAGGGATTGATTGATCTTCACCATGGCGATAATGAGAAGGCCCCCAGTCAGCAGGAAGGTGGGCCAGAAGAGAGAGAAGAGGAGGGCCTGGGGCCCATAGAGGCGCTGGTACAGGACACTGGTCTCATTCTCCCGAGTTGTCGAGAAGCAGTAGAAAACCTGGTGCTCATGGAATTTGGCTCTGACCTTCTCCACGTCGGCCCGGGCCACCAGGTAGTTGTCCAGGCTGCCTGGGATGTAGGAGCACTGTGGAGGAGAAGCAAGAGCTGAAGATCTGTTTTCATAGGACCCAAGGGTGAAGGGCTGGAACCAAGTAGAGAAAAATGCCAGCTTTGGAGTCAAACTCTCTGCATTGGAGTTAGGACTTCTTTTTAAAGCTTGGTATATTGTTCACTGCACAATCCTAGAGGCACTACTCACAGAGTCACTTGTGTAAATGGTGCCCCCTGAACTTGTTCAGTACACATGCTGCACAGCTGAAGGCAGTGGCCTTGGTTGGAGTCCTGGCTCTGCTTCCTTGTGAGTATAGAATCTTAGGCAAACCACTGACTTCTCTGAACCTTGATATCCTTATTACTTCAATGAATTAATAAAAACATTTACCATTAGTTAAGGCAGTTTTGACTCATAGCTACCCCATGCATGTCAGAGTACAACTGGGCTCCATAGGGTTTTCAATGATTACTTTTTCTAAAGTAGATTAGGACTTTCTTCCAAGGTGCCTTGAGGATGAACTCACTTCCAATCCTTCAGTTATCATCTGAGTGTGCTAATCTGTTGTGCCACCCAGAGACTCCTAATGGATTAATTAAAAAAAAAAAAAAATCCACTGCCATCAAGTGGATTCTGACTCACAGTGACCCCCATTGGGTTTCCAACATGGTAAACCTTTGTGGAAGTAGATTGCCCCATCTTCCTTCTGCAGAGTGGCTGGTAGGTTTGAACCACCAACCTTCGGGTTAGCAGTCAAAGGCCTTAGGCATTGCACCACCAGAGTTCCTAAATGTATTAATAGTAATGTCTTTTCCGAAACATATGATTAAAAAAGAGCTTCCAACTTAACTGTCTATGGAGAGCAATAAGTGAAACAAACCAATGGTTCTGTTTTTCTGTTCAGGGACAAAATCACAGTCAATTCTCTACAGGACCTGTGCAGATGCAGGTAATACATGTAATATAAGTAAAGGAAGTAGGTATAGCATTAAGATGCTAGGTGCTGACTGACACTTGCATTATAGGAAGTGGTGGGGAGGGGCAAAATGGAGATATCCTGAATCATCCAAATTGGCAGTCCCCACTTCATCTAGACAACATCAACAAGGCCCTCTGTAGCCAGCTCTTCAGCATGTTAAGCCAGAAGCACCAGATTTTAACGTAAACTCTCACAACAGAAAACCTTTTGAGATCTGACCCTGTGCAAGCCAAACAAAATATGTTGGTATTTTTGACACTGGCATTGAAAGGAAAGAGAAAATGTGTTTAAAAGAGCTCAGTGCAGGCAGAACACAGTACACATGTAATCTGTCCCTGATTATTATTAGTAGGAACCTTCTGGTCCATTCAAATGGGGCCCAGATGGAAAGCTCAGCAAAGAAGGCACACAATGGAGACCCAGGTTTTAATTGGATTCTGCACCAGGAAGCCTGCGTGCTGGTTAGGTGAGCCTCTGGGAGGTGTTCTGCCAGGTGGTAGAACCTCACACCACCTGCAGCAGAACACATGGAGGGCTGAAGATAAGCTTAAGTTCATACTGAATCTGAATCTCTGAAGGTAGGGCCTAGGAATCAGATAATTCAACATGCACTAGAATTTGAGGACTGCTGCTCTAGTGAAGTCATGTCCAAGATCAAAATGTGTAAAAGTGAGACTCAAATAGCAATGCTGAGGCAGCTTCTCCTCCAGCCTCAGTTACTTTCTAGATTGGAGTGAGGTCACCTCTAAACCTGCCTGCCCTGAGAGCATATAGTCCAGCGGACAGGATGGTTGCAGTATGATTCTGACCCTAGGAAAAGGGATAGAGGGGATATTGTCTCCAGATATGATCCCTGTCCAACCAGGGAGAAGTTGAGGCTGGGGAGAATCTGGGTCCTGAGAAATCTTGCATTCAGAGCTGTTGGACACTGCAGCAGGGTCCTCAAGGACAGGTGGATCCAGAGTCCTGAGCTGAGAGCTAGGGGGCCTGAGCCAAGTTTCCCCAGTGCCTCTGTCTGTGACCTTGGGCCACCTACTAGATGAGCAAAGCTATGGCCATAGAGACAGATAGGCCTGAGTTCAACTATCAGTTCCAACTTATGTGAACATGGTAAGTCCCACAATCTCTTGAAGCCAGGTACAGTGAGGGTGTAAGGAACCAGCTTAGTGAGATTATCATGGGGATTAAAAGAGGTGAGGTTGCAAAGTGCTTAGCTCAGAGCTCAGCCCAGGTAAATGCACAGTATGTGGAAGATGGTATGTTACTAATAATATCATTATTAACTTATCTATGATATTGCAACAACAGCCCCCTCTTCTTATTAAAGTGAGCCCCATGGACAGACTCTGAGGTAAGGTTTGTGCCCATCCTGGGCCTCACTGTACCCCTTGCCTGCTTGCAGATATGCTGGATCCATTATACTGGATTATTTAGAGAGATACAAGGCAGGACCTTGCTCTGCAGAGTCAAGTCCAGACCTGGAGCCTGTTTGCCTCCTCTTCCCCCTGATGGAGTCCAGCTAACCAAGAGTGATCCTGGGGCACCTCTGTCCTCATCACTGACAGCAGGAAGGACTTAGAACTGTCCCCAGGATAACTAAGTCTTACAGTGGAACATGAGAGCATACATGCCGTACTGTCCTCAAGAGCAGGTATGGAGAGACAGCATTGCCTGGCCTGTGATTCCAGAGGATGCTCAGCTGCCCTAGATTACCATCTCATCTCCCTGCACCCCTGAGCAGTGACCTGACACCCAGTTGCTTTACAAAAGCATAAAGAGCAATTCTACCCAGAGGCATATCTAAGGAAAATGGCAACCAATGAATTTGTGCCCCTGTCTGACCATCTGGCACCCATCTTTTAAATAACTTTACCATAACATCAGCTCAAAAAAACAAGTCAACTCATTAATCTTTTACTTAATATGTGAAAATTACAACCACACCTTTCTTGCTTTCACTGATGAAAACTGGTCTATGATGGGCTCAAAGTCATTTTGTTTTTCAGTTTCTTCTCTTTCTACACTCAGCAGAGCAAGATCACAAGTCTGCCTTGACCCATAACAAAAAAAAAAAAAAAAAAAACCCACTGGCATCAAGTAGATTCTACTCACAGTGATCCATAGGATAGAGCAGAACTGCTCCATAAAGTTTCCAAGTCTGTAAATCTTTACAAAAGCAGACTGCTTCATCTTTCTTCTGCAGAGTGGCTGGTGGGTTTGAACCACTGCCTTTTTGGTTAGCAGCCAAATGCCTTAGCCACTACACTACCAGAGCTCCTTCATGGATCAGGTACTAATAAATGTTTGCTAAATGAATTGAGTGGATGGATGGATGGATGGATGGATGGAAGGATGGACAGATACTTTCCATCTGTCGTCCTGGCAATCTGACACTACTTTGTCCCTCCCCTATGGCTTTCCTAGCTGTGTGAAAGTATGTTTTAACTTGTTAAATGACCTCTCACAGCTGGTGATGGAAACTGTGATTGCCAATAGAAACTGCTCAGTGATGCTCCCCTTCAAGGGGCACCCAAGGCACATGCCATATCCACCATGCCTTAGATATGCCTCTGTTTCCAGAATGGCAGCCTGCCATGACCTCGGTCCTGGAAATGCTTGGGTACTCTTGGTGGCAGCCGATGCTGTCCTTCCAGGGCTGTCCAGAGCTTGTCTGGTGTGTGCTGCGAACAGCTCACTCAGGGAAGACTTGGCCTCTTGCTCCTCCTGAGCTGGCAGCCTCAGGATCAGGGAGGCAGTCTGCTCACTTCCCAACCCCCATTACCCTACAGGAGAACAGCACCAGTTATCACTTCTGTTTGTTTTTAAGAATTTTTTATTCATTACTTGGAATAAACTGAGATCATCAAATGCCAAAGAAGGGCAGGAGTCATGAGTAGGAGCTAATTTAGGTGTTTCTGAAGCTTTACTTCCATCTGGTGGGGACTGAATCATTCTCCCAGTCTTGTTGCCATGAAGTCAACTCTGACCCATGGTGCTCCTATGTATGTCAGAGTAGAACTGTGCTCCATAGGGTTTTTGATGGCTGATTTTTCAGAAGTAGATCATCAGGGCTTTCTTCAAAGGTACCTCTGCATGGACTTGAACCTCCAACCATTACGTTAGCAGCTAAGAGTGTTAACAACTTGTATTCAAAGCAGAAAGGGACAAATAAAACCACAGAGAAAACTGTCCAATATTTGTTGGAAGAGAATTTCCCTAGTATGATGAAAAATGACAATATAGCCATTCAAGAAGTCCAACAAACCTTAAACAGGATAGACCCCAAAAGAAAATCACCAAGACATATCATCATCAAACTCAGCAAAAACAAAGACAAAGAAAGAATCCTGAAAGCAGCACAGGAAAAATGAAAAGTTACATACAAAGGGCAACTAGTAAGACTAAACTTGGATTTCTCAGCAGATCATGCAGGTGAGAAGAAAATGGGATGGCATATAAAACCCTGAAAGAAAAAAATTTCCAACCAAGAATTATATACCCAGCAAAATTGTCCCTCAAATACGGTGGTGAAATTAGGACATTTACAGATAAGCAAAAATTAAGGGAATTTGTTAAAACCAGATCAACTTTACAAGAGATGTTAAAGGGAGTCCTTTGGACAGAGAACCAACAACAGCAAACATCAACCAACCATTAACACACATGATGACATAAAACAGAAGCCAACCCAGTTATGGAAGTATCCAAAGTAAATAAGCCTACCAGATTATAAATAGGAAAGCAGAGACACCAATTGAAAAATGAGGACAACTACAAACCAAAAGGAGGGAAAAATTGTGTAGTTACAGAACTTCTAAATGGTAGGGAAGTCAAGACAATTATAAGATAGAATAGACTGTACTAAACTTGGGAAGAAAATTATAAATGACAGGGTAACCTCAAAGAAAAATGCTAAACCTTCACATAAAATAAAAAAGAGGACCAGCACAAATATTTAGCAAATACTAAAACAATAGCAACAAAGGAAGTTATAACACAATTCATAAACAAAGCAAGCTCAGCACAGAAAATTATATGGAACAAGGAAATCAGC